CAGTAATGTGGTTTTCTGATTTTTTGCTTTTACAATAATCATTAAGAACAACTTTACCTGTAAGCAAAGATTTGGCTTCAATGAAAATGTAAAACGGAAGAAATCATTGAAAGTTTGCAGTCAACCCCCTATGGGCATGTTGATTGTGCTACTCATCAAAAAGGTCCAACGAGCCCAGGAAAAGGTGAGATAACATATTTAATTTGTTATTTTAATGTAAATTAGTATTAGTGCTTTGAAAATGTCTTATATTTCGAATATCAAAGAATTTTGTATCAGAGTATTTTAGGCAAGTGGTGGAAGTGTGAGTACAGGGAGGCTTGTATTTCAATTTTGACAAGGTAGGAAATTCAAAATAATAATAATAATAATGATGATTTTAATTATAAACTGGGTAATGGTTTGTGCATCCCTGCTGTACCTCCCCTACACAAACATAATACAGTATACAGTATACAATACATAATAATCAGACAGATAAAAAGCTGGTGGGGGGGGGGCCCCACCAGCTTTTTATCTGTCTGAACTTTAAATGAACTTTAAAAATTAACCAATCAGTGCATAAGAAATCACATGTTTAATTAATGTTTTCAGTTGGCCACAGTAAGGGAACGATGCAGGGACATAACACATGAGTTGGAAAATATTCCTGTAAGTATACTCTTGATTTCTTATTGTGGTTGTTTTATCAGCACTGGTAAGTGTGCAGCAAAATACTGCTGTGCATAACTTCTGACTGTAGGTTTTCATTAGTTTGTAGATGGATGAAATTTTATGCCAATTTTTGATAAAAGCATTAATAAAAAATACTCAATTTTGTGAGAAGAAAAAATTGGTGGACTGGCCACTTAACACAGAGCCAGTACCAGAATGACAGCCAGTGCTAGGCTTCTATGCCAGTGCCTGGGCAAGAAACCTGAGTGTGTGCCTTCATCTGGTTAGTCAGAAGACTGTCATAAATGACAGTGTTTCTAAATTGTAAACATTAAAATATCAAATGCAAGATATAGGTTGGTATAGACTTTTTAATTCGTTCAAGAACAAAGACTCTCTCTCTTTTACTGTCCTTTTTTTGTTTGAGACTCTATCTACATACATACCAGTAGTAAGAGTTTTAAGAATGGTGAGTTTCTCAGTAAGTGGAATCTCAATGCCTGGCACAGGCTGCGAATGTCAAATTCCATATACTGCCAGGCTTCAGGAAGATGTGGATAGATTGCAAAAAGAAAAAATATTTTTGCAAGTTAAATTTTGGTGGACTGGCCACTTAACACAGAGCCAGTAGCAGAATGACAGCCAGTGCCAGGGCAAGAAACCTGAGTGTGTGCCTGTGTTCATCTGGTCAGTCAGAAGACTGTCTTAAATGACAGTGTCTCTAAATTGTCAAAATAAACATCAAAATATTAAATGTAAGATATGGTGAGATAAAATTGTTGTGTTCAGATCTATTTTGTTTACAATTTTGGTCTCACCCAACCACTTCTTATTTTAATAAATGTGTTACTACCCAGTGTCTAATTTAATTTAATTTAATTCTATTTTTAGACACAGGGATAGGTATCTCAGGCATGAACAAGAAGCCCTACTGCACTTGTTGATGGACGATCAACACTGGGTCCAAGAATTGCAAGAAAAAGGAGGTATGAGACCATTGAAGCTGCTGCCAGAATTCATGGAAGCACAAATGAACATTCTTCAGCCACTTTAGAGGGATTGTTCTACACTTTGCAGAAAAGATGCAAATTGGATACTCTCACAAATTATGTGACAGGGAACAAGCAGTTGACTAATAGAGTAGTTTCTAAAGAGTATAAGAAAAAAGTTTTAAAATTTGAAAAGTCAGATGACAACATTGTACGAAGTATTGCAACATATTATGCAAGTGGTGTAATGGGCAAAAGAAAGTACAAAAGTGTTAGACTGGTGCTTTCGATGAAATCAAATGAAAGTAAACCAGGGAAAAGAACAAGCATTTCAATTTGTAAAGGCTGTAAGGTACCAAAGCTTTTCACTTATAGTAACCTTGTGGAAAAGTTAAAAAAGATTGATATTGGAACTGTTCATGAAATTAACCCAGACTATCTAGAGGGCTTAAAAACTGAAAACTCAGTGAATGGTGTATATAGAGACTTAAGACAATACCTTCCAATGCTTGCCAAATTTTATCTCTCTAAGAATATAAAAGAAAGCTTGAAAGGCTTTACAGAATCAACAGGCACTTTTCAAATTGCTCTTGGTGGTGACGGATGCCCATTTGGCAAGAATGAGAGCATATGTTCTTTTTTGGTCAGTTTCCTCAATTTTGGAAGAAGGGTGGCATCAAGTTATAACTTTCTAATTTTTAGTGCCAACTGTGATGAAAGCTCTCCTGTTACAAAGAAATATGTGAGGTCATTATGGCCGCAAATTG